GGTACGCGAAACGTGCCGATGCCGGCCGACTACGCACGAGGGCGTCGCGAAGGCAACCACGTTTTCTACCCTCATTTTCAGTCTGTCGTGGTGTGTCCTGTCGGCCGGCTGGTGCTTTACTACACGCGCCCTTCTCTCGTTTTCTCCCTCCTCCGTTCGTTTCTCTTTCTCTGATCGGTGTTTTCTTCGTGATTCACTCACTGCGTGATTTTAATTCTCGCGCCAAATTCGTCGTTGTTCCCGTGCAACACTGCGGCGTGGAGGGAGTCATTCGATGGATGTACGGGATCCAGTGAAAAGCCGGCGAACAGTGTTGTGATTTCTTTATTTTTTTTTCATGTGAGAACGACGCGTATTCGTAATCGACTTGGTTTTGCCGCGTGTTTTAATCGAGGACCGGCGTGACAACGATAGTGTGCTAAAGAAATCGTCCACGGCGCGGATTTGATCATAGTGAAAACGGAGCGGACATGCATCAGAAGAAACGCCGTTCCACGGACCGATGAACGTGGCTGGCAATTGACTCGATGGCAGAGGGACGCTGAGGTAAGTGAGTTCAATGTACGCCGACGACGATGTTGGCACGCGAGAATCTTCGCCCAGAAAAATAAACTGTGTCGGTTAAAAATTCGACGGATATTCGATTCGCCGCGATGTGTTGGTACCCCTTGCCCGCCTATTCTGTTAACCGTTCCCCCTCCCCCCTAGTGGCGTCTCGCGCATACTTCGACCGTCGATCCTTCGTTTTATCGTCGTCTCGTGACATGTTTGAAATACGTTATACTTTGCGCGAAGATTAATTTCCGTACTCTTCGCATGTGCAACGTATCTTGTTATATATGCGATTTCGATGCGTTCGATACCACGTCACGCTCTTATTGTTTTAATTGGCTAAACTGATCGATGAAAAATACGAACGATTGCTACGGAAAGTTTCAGTTACGAACGTATACGCTTTTTTTCTTTAGGTTATGGCTAGTTCGCGCGTCCTTGTTTAAATTCGTAATCATAGTAAATTACGTCTTATCTAATGTTATGTATATCTTATTCTTAATATCGTCGCATATTCATGTTTGTTATGAATACACAAATATTAGCAGTTTAGTATTGTTTCCACGAAACGGAGTGGAAGCATATTTTGTTTTGAATTTCGAAGTAACCTTTAGATTCGTTGATATATTAGTGAATCATAGAACATTTAATAATACAATAATCATCGATCACATTGAATATTGTTTCTACACGTCTATAAACCACAAGCTTTATAATGCACTTATGTTAGATTATTTATTTATTCATTGCATAGTACATCCATATTGTAAATTATTTCGCAAGTATATATAAACTTCGTATGTAGGTGTGTACCGCTTCTCTTTAATTCTACTCGTAAATTGTTCCATTTAATTATGCGTGAGAATAGTAAGAAATGCTTGGCAAAAACAAAATGCGATATCTGACATGATAATTTGTCGCTGGAAGATAAAAAGTATGATAAAAATCACTTAACGAATCAATATGTTTGAACGAAACGAATAATTATACAGGATAATCTATGAGGGATAATATTTTTTTTTCAACGTGGATTAATGTTTGTAGATTAATAAGATCTATTAAGCGATTTTCATTTTTGTTTTTAACTAGATAAATATTTATTGAAACAAAAATTAGTAATAATAGATATATTTTATATCTGAAAATTTATATTTGTAACTTTATTAATTAATTTATAAATTGAACGTATACATCCAATTCCAATATATACACGTTTGTTTCGTAAATTAATTAGAAATTTTTAAGTTAGATGGAATTTAGCGACTGTTTTCGGGTTAACGTGCCGTAATAGTGGTCGAGAAAAGAGTTAGAGTTTATTAACAGGAGCCACGAATAGATAAACCATGTGCACCGCGTATGCAACACGCTACGTGTCTTTCTTCTTGCGGCATCGTTGCAAAGGGTGAAAATAGCGCCGGTTGCGTATAATTTATCTGCTTATACGACCGCGATGATAACGTGGTAAAGAGAACGGCGAAGAAAAGACGGTGAAAAGAAGGGAATAGTTAACGTTCGTTTAACAAGATTAGCCAAAGGAAAAGATTAAAATTCACGGAAATTCTTTCGTGTTAGTTCCTTGTTATTTTCCATGAGAAAGGTGTGAAATTGTTCTCTAGTTTCGTGTAAAGATTCAAAGATAATGTTTCGTTTGTGAAAGAATAAATGGAACTTGTGTTTCATTTTATTTTTTTACAAAAAATATAAAAGTCAGAAACACTGTTATTATATTACGGATATACAGGGGTGTAAAAAAGCACGGGGATAAGGATGGATAGATTAAAAGTAATTTCTCCGTTCTAGAAGCAATTTATCGATGTAGAACTAACATAGTAAGGAACAGAAACGATATAATGGAGGACGAGGCGTAATTCAGCATAGAGCAACTTTTATGTGATCGTAACAAGCTTGAGAGGAAGATGTATCGATGAAACGAAAGAACTTTTTATTCGATGGATTATAGGTCTCTAAAAGAGAGACGTGATAATGATAAAACGAATAGAATAGATTTTTTCACGATAATGGTAGGATGTAGAATTCTTTTCAATCCCCTAAGGAATTTTATTCTCGAGGAGGGAGATATATCTTCATATAAAAAAAGAGTTGTCGAATAGAAACAAAGAATTGACAAACGATGAATCATGCTTAATTTGAATATAATACTGTCTAACTTTTCGGTCTAGTAAAGAAATTTTGATTTAAGATTACAATTTAAACGGAATAATTAAACTCGTTGTTGATATGCGGAAAATATAAGCAACTTCGAAACGAAATTTTCGCGAAAATTATTTTCCAAGAGTAAGTTGGTCCCTGTGTAAAGCAATCTAATTAAGTACACTAATAATATTTAATAAAGAAAGGGTAATGGGAATGACGAAGTTTCTTCTGTATCATGGGAATTTCGTTTGTTCGGGCATAGAATCTTCAATCTTTTGTTACTTCTCCCGTTCATTGTTCCTCTTTTCCAAGTTGTCCTTCCACTTTTTCCTCGCTTTACAAAGGATCCTGTAAGAATTGATCAAACTTTAAAAAGTTCGATTCATCCGTTGCTCAAATTTCCGCAAGAGAGATCGTTTCTAATATAAGCGTGGTAAAAAAGAGAAAGATTCGTAAATTAATATATTCTTTCACGACAAAACTCTTATTGAAACGATCTTAATAATTTCCGTTTAAACTTTTCGTTTAAAGAAATTTTTTAAAGAAAACGAAGAAAGATCTTTTTTCTTTTCGGTTGATTTCGATTAGTATTTCTCTTACAGTTTTTATTTTTAATTGAAATTCATTTCGAAATTCATCCAAGACTGCACGCAAATTTCACACGCATATTTTTCATTTTCTTTATTCTATTTTTGTCTTTTTAATACGTAAATCCATTTAAATTACGTATGATATTTTTCTCATTTTTTTTTTTTATTATCAATTATACGTAAATTTCGCACGCGTCTACGCTTCTTATCTTTTTTTCCCTTTTTTTTACCAACTCAACGTTTAAAGCTTTCAAAAATTGAATGCTCTGTAAACACGATTCGGTGTTTCCACGTTTTCGAGGTGGATCGTGGGTGAAATAATGATGCTGTTAACATGCCCTCCTCGTACGTTGAAAGCTCTGTTTATCTTTTGAAAAGAAGCGAAAGCACATTGCAACTGCTATGCTATGTTAATCGCAATATGGTTGTAATATCATATATATAGATCTGGAACCAAAAATAGAACGTTACGGAACTAATTTTGAAAAATGTACCGGCGTAGGATTGCTTGGATATTAATAATTGGCAAAAATAGACGGCTAAACACGGATAAATAAAATTCATTGGAAGGAATGAAACGATAGTAGAGCGAACATTAGCTCACCGATGCTGTTGGTAATCTCGTTGCGTAATATCGGTATGGTTTATCGGCGAACTACCACTTGTGCGAGGAAAACCGTGTTTTATAATTTACTGGTCGAACTGTGAGAGAAGAAGAATTTATTGCATATCGAGCAGGAAAATTTGAAGTACTTTCGAAAAAGCGGTCGTATATTTCTGCCATTGCTGTTTCTATCGATCATGGGGTTAATATGAGTATACAGTACGAATCAAAAGTGTTATAGATATTCCTCAATAGGTGTTATAAAATATCAAATACTCAAAAATTCTTCTTTTGTCGAAGATGTTAAAATTACTGATTTTTTCGAATTTATTAATTTAGAATTAATAAGAAAATTAGAAGGAGGTTATGAAAAACAAAATAATTCAAAATAACACTTGTGTAACACTTTTGATTCGTACTGTATACTCATATTAACCCCATAATCGATAGAAACAACAATGGCAGAAATATACGACCGCTTTTTCGAAAGTACTTCAAATTTTTTTTGCCAATATAGTGTTAGTACACGAATAATAGGATCGAAGTGTAAGTTTTTCTTACAAATATGTCAAAAAGATATTAATGATTCGAAAGAAAAATCGAATCGGGTGAGATAATAGAGTGCATTAGAGAAGAGAGATTTCTATCCGATTTCGTATTTTGGAAACGGATGCAATGATTTGTCACGTGGAACGATCTTGAGCCTGCTGCATGGTATTTTTCATGCAACCAGACAGACAGAGAATATATCGGATTCGAATCCGATGATTGATGAGTTTCTCGCGTGTATTTGCTATGAAAGTTATCTTATGCGAAATGGTACGGGTACAAAACTGTTTCTCGCGAAATATTTTAAAGATTATATTCATATTGCGTTATTTTTAAAAATTAAAATCAGTGTTTTCCAC